CAGAGTCCTCCGAAGCGCAGCACCAGAGCCCCGGCACCAGGCAGAGGTAAGCTGGGCTGGGAGCCCCTCATGCACTTGATCCAGGACCTGTCGAGCTGCTGTGTGAAGCCCCAGCCCTGAGGGCTCTGTGCCAGTGTAACGTGTGCTTTTATGTAATAAAAGTGGGTTTGTGTGGAAGAAGTACGTGTGAGCCACCATCCTGTCCCCTCAGAAGGGCCCTGGATGCCATGTGCAGCTCTCCTCTCTGTCCCTAGCAAAGTAGCCCTGGCCGGGTCAGGACAGACACCACACAGCAAGACCCATGTTTCTCCTGCCTGGAAGTGGCCCAGCTGAGCCCTGCACCACGGCTCTGCTCCCCTGGCTGGGTAGAGGATGCCCACTGCTTTGGGACCAGAGGAACTCTGTCCGCTAGTGGCTTCTGCAGAAGCTGGCATGGGAAACCTTTCCAGGGCCCCAGCCACTTGCAAGGCCTGTGGGATACACCAAAGTGCCTTTTTCCTTCCCAGGCACCTGCTGCACAGCGGCACTTTGTGGCACATGACTCAAGTCATGGCGAGGCAGGCTGGCAATGCTGTGATTAGTCACTGGGCCCTTTGAACATGCATCGAGTCCTGTCCCAGTGGGGCCGGTTGGCAGCACCAAGCTGCCTGCACAGCTGGGAGACAGGCCCCGGTGAGCCCCATGGCTGCGCTGTGTTCTGGCACTGGGGGCTGCTGAAACAAAGCAAGGTGCTCCTGTGCCCCTGTGCCAGCTTCCTGCCTCTGGAGCAGGGACCTCAGCACTGATCGGGCCCCTTGGTTTGGTGCTGCAGGGGAAGCTCCAGTGCCCTGCACTGCTCTGTGGGCTGGTCCCATAGGCTCCCAGTCTAAGCAGAGGAGCTTGACTGGGAGCCCCAGTCTGCTGTGGGGCTGGTGGGCACCCTGCTCTGACGTATCCCAGAGCCCAAAGAGGGAAGGTGTGTGAGCGAAAGGCCATTTCCAGGGGCGAGGGGCTGCCTGTGTGACTGGTGTGAGTGTTGCTGTGGATGTGCCTAGGGTCTGTGTTCTGGTGCTGCTCTGGGGAAGAGCCAGCTGCATTTCCCACTGCCAGCTTCCTTCTCTTGCTCCGCCTGTGTTCCTTGCGTGGCTTTGTCCCTCGTGTCTGCTTTTCAACACTGTAGTGTCTGTGTCTCATCTGCCATGAGAACGTGGTGGGGAGGAAATAAACAGTTTGTGTTCTCATGGGCACGTTGTAATGCCTGGTCCTTCTGCCATGCATGCCGGGCCCTGGAGCCCAGGGGAGCAGCCCACTGACACGATCCCCACTGCTAGGAAGTTGGTGACAGTGGGGCATGCGAGCAGGATGTGACCTTTTGAGGAGCTGGAAGTAGGGCAGATCAGTGGTGTTCTGCCTCCCTGGTCTGTGCTCTCTGCTTCCTGGCTGCCAGCATGGCATCCTGTGGCAATGGGAGTAACAGAGAGCAGAGCTGAGCACCTGGTGGGATGTCATCTTGGAACTGGGATGTGGCTCTTTTGTCCCTGCCCTGGCACCACCTGACAGCTCTCCCTGCTGCCTCATGTGCATGTGAGGGGCCCAGCACTGCTGCGTCTGCACAGGGAAGTGCAGGCCAGGAATGCTTTGACCCCCCGGCTTTGTCTGTTGTTGCTGCCTTCCCACCAGTGGTCCCATCCTGGGGTGGTGCTGGGACGCTGTCATGGCTGCCAGGAAGGAACTGGGAATGCTCAGTGCTGGCTGCCACCAGCCAGGTGTGACAGGATAGGGGTTAAGGGGCACAGGATGAAGCCACTGCTTCTGAGCCATGTCTCACCCTTCCCCACCCTGTGCACCTCTGCTTGTATGGGACAGGCAGGACATCCCCACAGGCCATGCCTAAGGGCAAGAGGAGGCTGCATCCCACTGGGGCCTGGTGGGACAGCTTTCCCAGAGCGATGGCCAGTCCCCTGGGGACCTGCTGCTTGGGCTGGGGTCTGAAAAGCATCTCAGATGTGTCCCCATCCCAGCTGCATCCACTTTGCCTGGCAGGAAGACTCTTTCCTGGAGGGCCCATCCCACTACTCATGTGCTGTGCCAGCTGGGCAGCCCTGGCCGTGGTGGGGTCTGGTGTTCCCACAGACATGGTGGGCGTTCAGTGGTCAGCAGAGCTGCAGGCACTACCAGGCTGGCTCTCATCTCCTTCCCTGCAGCTGCCCTGTCTGAGGAGCAGTGGAACTGGGGAGGGAAGGGCTGGGCCATGCAGTGGGGTGGCAGGAGCCACTTTCCCAGAGAGCTGCTCTGCCACATTCAGGCCCCCCCATGCTCCAGCCCTGAGCCCTGCACAGTTCCTGCATTGGCCAAGCCCATGGACCAGGCTGGACCTGTTTTCTGCCCATCCTTGCAAATGCCAGGGTGAGGAGAGGGCTCTGTAGGACCCCCTGACCCTCCCGTGGCTGCCACTGGCCTTTGCTGGCTGGAGTTTGTCAACAAATCGTGCCATTTCAGTTGTGACAAGATTAAGAGCTATTGAATGTAAAGCCACCACCCTGAGCGAGTGCTTGCGTGTGTCACCAACCTGCCCCAGCATGGGCTTTGCAACAGTCCAACTCCTGTGCGGGGTCTTAACTCACTGTGGGGTTCCCCATGGTTCATTTGGGCATTTTACACATTGTCAGGTCCCCAGGGGACTGTTGTGTGTCCCCATAGGGCTAGCCCTGTTGAACACCAGCAGCATGGCCAGCCATGCCAAGGGCCAGTGCTCCGCATGCTGCCTGCTGGGCTTATCTCTCCAGGAGCAGGGCTCTATGGCTGCCCAGGAGTCTGGCTTTGCCATATCCTATGGAGCTGATGTGTGTTTTCCCTGGGCCTGGAGAGCTGTGCCCCCATCAGCTTCCTGGGTCTGCCTGGCACAGCTGGTTCAGAGCCCATTGCACCAGTGAGCATGAACCAGGATTGGGCCCTGGCTCCTCAGTCCTGCCTGTGCTGTCCCTACCCATCTCCTGCACTCCAGCACAGGCACAAAGCCTGGTTCTCAGCCACAGCCTTGTCCTGCAGTGACTGAGACGCATGTCTGATGCTGCTGCTTCTGGCTTCAGTTCCCACCAGCAGCCCTGGCCCCACACTGAGCTGCTGAGTCCTGTCATGGTCCTTCCTGCTGGTGCCTCCGCAGCTTCCAAAGCAGCTCCTCCTGCTCTTTGACTTTGGGGCTGCATCTCAGCAGCCTGGTCATGGCAAGGCCAGCAGGCAGCTCTGTCCCAGCTCTCCTGGCTCAAAGGACACACTGCAGTGGCCAGGAGCTCAGTGCGTGGCTGCTGTGCTGCAGGGCATGGTGCCTGATGCAGTGATGTGGGGATGCATCATGCCCGTTGGCTGGGCACATACTCCAGTGGTGCTGCCAGCACATGTGTGTCCCTGTGCCAACCCTGTCTTGTGCTGAGGTCAGGCAGCCGCTGCCCTGCTGCAGCTCAGAGGCCCCTCACCACCCCAGTGTGTGCCCAGCACAGGCTGAGCTCTCTGTTGTTTGTCACACAGGGACCCTGCCATTGGGCACCCAGACAGCACCAAGCACAGGCACCAGCCATGGTCCAAGGAAGGCCCAGCAAGGTGCAGAAGAGCCAGTGGCTGACCATGGCCCAGAACGGCTGCAGGTACCGCAGGGGGCTGGGGGGGCTGCCCCATGGCTCTGGGGCTTCTGGGGGTAGCAGGGTAGGGAATATGCGGGGATGCACACTGCGAGCCATCATATCCTATCTGTGGGGCTCCACTGGAGCTTCTGCCCATCACGCACATTTCCCGAGCTTTGCAGACAGCTGGGGCAGGGGGGAAGGCCCGGATCATGGCTTTGCCCTCTGCAGCCATAGGGGGTTCCTGTGAGGAACACACTCCCTAGGTCACCGGTCTATTCTCCTCTCCTCTTTATAGGTGATCTCCAGGAAGCTGGATGCCAGGAGAGGGGAGCAACCCGGGTAGGTGTGGAGGCACCCCACAGCATGGGGCACCCCTGAACTGGCCCAGAGCCCACGCTGACACTGGCAGTGGGACTGGAGACGCAGGGGGGTTGGGCACAGGCATACCCACCCACCCCAGCAGCACCCACCTCAGGAGGGGCCCATGGGTCTCCACAGGCACCCTCCACGCCCCAGCAGGATCCCCGTGCGGAGGAAAGGGGCAGTGACTGGGCAGAACCCATCAGGGCTCCACACCAACAGCGCCACAGCCCACCAGGCCAGGACATTCAGCCGGGACAGGCCCCAGGCCTCACAGTTTCCACCAGGTAGGGCACGGCGTGGGGCTGTGGGGCTGCAGCACCCACTCAGTGCCCAGTGCAGGAGGGGACCATCACGCCTAGGCATGGTGGGTGCCCTTGGTGTGCTGCATCAGGCCCAGAATCCCACAACCCCCAGGCCTGGGACAGCCTTACTGGTGGCCAACACTAGTCCCTGTCCCTGCAGGGCTCTGCCCAGAGCCCCCTGCACTCCCCGACGGGGTGCAGAGCGCCGAGGAACTCCTCCTGTGTGGGGACAAGGTCCTGCACCCCCAGGTATGGCCCTGCAGGGCTGCACTGCAGCCATGGGGACCCCTGCCCAGCTCTGCCCTGTGCTGGCAGGGCCTGGGCAGGGGCGACAGTCCTGGGGAGGGGGCTCCATTCTCACTGCCCCAGCCCCTCTGCTCCCTCACAGCACCCAGCCACAGGCCCTCCCTCGCTCAGCTCCTACCGGCAGCTCCTTTCGTTCTGCGCCGAAGCCTGACCGTGCTCTGGCACCCCGGATCCCCAGCGTGGGGCAGGGCTGGTCTCCCCCTGCCCCAGGCCTTGGCCGGACTGAAGCTGCAGCAGCGTGGAGCCCTGCCTGCAGCCACCGCACCGCTCACCCCACACCGTGCCTATGCCTGCGGCAGCCACCGCTACTGGCCCACAGCAGCTCCCAGTGATAGAAGGCTCGCACCGGGGACAGCCCCGCTCCTCCCCGCGGGACCGGCGGAGGGGCCTGGCACAGGAGGGAAGGGTCAGGGATTTTTACATCACACGGTTTCGTATTGTATTACTGTGTTTCCGTTAAACTCCGTTTGGAAGAAGCACGGCCTCTTGTCTCAGCGCAGCACCGCTCTGCTGTGGTTACCATGGAGCAGGGCAGCTGGGGGCAGGTCTGCGGGTGAGCCAGTCTGGGGGTGCTGGTGCGGTGCATCCCCAGGCGGCCTCACTCCTGCTTCTTGGGGTTGTTGACGGCCACGTAGTGGTAGAGCACGACGAGGAGGAAGAGCGATACGCCCAGCATGTTGGCGAAGATGGCGAGCTGCACGTCCGTGATCATCCTGCCGGGGGATCGCGCTGCCAGCCACGCCGGGGCACCCCAGGAACCTCCAAAGACCCCAACCCCGCTGCGACCTCCCCAAGGACCCCAGTCCCCTGCCAGGGCAATGCCAAGGCACAGGCCACCCGCCCGGGATGCCCCCGGGGCCCTCACTCCGCTGGGACTCCTCCACAGGCCTCCGCTCTGCCGGTGCAGCCCCAGTACCCCACTGGGACACGCCGGGACCCACCCGTTGTGACCGCCCCCGGCGGGGCAGAACCCCGGTACCGACACCCCCCCCCCCCCCTCGTACTCACGCGCTGCCGGAGCCACCGCTGCCGCCACGTCTCCCTGCGCCTCGCGCGACTTCCGGTAGCGGGGGAAGGGGCGGAGCTTCTTGGAGACGTCAGACCAGCCTCGGGCTCCGCGGTGACGTCACGGCCCGGTCCCTGCCACACGGTGACGTCACGGCCGGGCTGTGCCGCGGGGCTCTCCGCGTTGCAGTGACGTCACAGCTCCTGGCCCCGGTTGGAGCCCCCCCACTTCGGCCGCCACCGCCGACACCATACAAGGCCGGGAGCGGGGCAGGGGGCTGGGCCTCGGCGAGGGCGCGGCTCTGGGCGGCCGGAGCTAATTATAGGTGCTGGAAGGGTGGGAGAAGGGACTGGAACGTGTTGGGACCGCACTGGGGTGTGCTTGAGGGTGGGCTGAGCACTGAGCACTGATAGGGGTGACACTGCTCCCGCGGCTGGGGGCTGGGGACAGCCATGGCTTCTTGCCCGGCCAAGCACAGCCCAGACCCCCCGGCTCCGCTTCACCCCTCCCCCTCATCCTCCCTCCCCCATCCAGCTGCCTGCAGCTGTTTGTGCTTAACCCACATCCCGCAGCCCCGGGGAGCGGCGGGTTCCCGCGCTGCTGTGCCAGCCCATGACGTCACCCCGGGGCTGGTGCCAAGGCGTGACGTCAGCGCAAGGTCATGACATCACCGTATGGCCTGGGGAAGCCATGGTGTCACGGCAGGGCCCTGTCCGTGGCGGGATGGCCCCTGTGTCATCACCTGCTCCCGGCTGGAACCTCACTCCCGTGGCCCTGGTGACCCCTGTTCCCAGCACAGTGCCATGGCGCTCAGCACCCACTGATTCATGGCACCAGCATGGGGCCATGGCAGTGTCAGGCACCATGTGCCAGTACCCCCAGCCTGGCCCAGGGAGCCCCAAGATGGAAACCCACAAGCACAGCCCCAGGCAAGCAAGAAGAGGGTGCAGTGGGGGATGGCCCCATACCGTCCATCACTGCAGCGTGGGGACCACGGGTGTGCACGGAGCAGGGTGCTGCAGGAGGAGCCCTGTGAACTGGTGGCCATGGGAGCCCATGTGGGGCGTGGGCAGGCGTGCGAGGCCGTGGCAGTGTGGTGCTGCAGGGGGGGACCTGCGGCGGTAGCACCCGCCGCGCTGGCTGCCTGCAGCCCTGGCCCCCTGCCCAGCCTCTCTGGCTTCCCCCGTCCCTCCTTCCCGTCCTCGCTGGCGTCCCGGCCTAACGAGAAGCAGATGTGCCGGGCGGGCGGTGGGGGCCGGCGGGGGCTGCGGTGCCCGGCGGAGGCCGGGACGCGCCGGGGGCCGCGCTGGCCGGCTCGGGGGCCGCGGCTGGCAGGAAGCGGGGGGCCCCGGGGACCCCGTCGAGCGGGCAGCGCGGGGCGGCTCTGGCGGCGAGGGGCCGGCCGAGGCGCGGCCGAGGGGAGGGCAGAGCCGCCGTTCGGAGCCGAGCCGTGCAGAGCCGGGAGAGACGGGGCTGCGACGGGACGCGCCATGCGCTCCTGAGCTGGGCTGTGTCCGCCGAGCAGCACCACGCCGGGCCGGGCCGGGCCGAGCCGAGCCGAGCCGAGCCGAGCCGGGCCGAGCCGAGCCGAGTCGAGCCGTGCCGAGCCTCCCGCCCAGCATGGCCCCCTGGCTCTGGCCGTGCCTCCTGGCCGCCCAGGCCCTGGCCGCCAACTTCCCCTCCAGGTACAGCCTCTACACCGGGGGGGCCGCCTCGCTCGGCACCATCCAGGCTACGGCCCCGCAGAGCCCCGCCGCGGCCCACAGCGCTGCCCGGGCCGCCAGCCGGCACAGGTAGGAGTCGTGACCGCCGGGCGGGATGGGAGGGCATCCCCGGCGGTACCGTGTCCCAGAGCACCGGTACATGCCACATCTGGCACAGGGTGTGCGGGTCCTGTCCCGAAGGATGCTGCTGTGCCCTGACTGGTGGGGCCACCCGCACCCATCACTCACCCACTGACCGCAGATGGTGGGTGTGGGGTGGGGGCGTGTGGAGGGGGACATGTGGGGCCAGGCACCAGGAGTGCTCCGGCAAAGGCGCAGACCAGCTGGGGCGGGTGTTGGCGGTGCCTGGTGCTGCTGTGCCAGGGATTCCCGTACTGGCCCTGCCACAACATCCACACATCCGTGCTGTGCACGCCGGCGCGGGGTCAGCACTGCCGGGGGTGGGAAGGGGTGAGGAGCCCGGACCCACCACGTTCCCATCCCCGTGCCGTGCCGGCGGGTAAGCAGTGTGGGGCTGTGGGGCAGCTTGTGCCTACAGGCCGGGGAGTTGGGGGCGCAGGACTGGAGAGGGTCCCACACCGGGCTGGGGGTCACGTTTTCATCATGGCCACATCAGCGCCGCAGCAGCGTGGATACATGGGGTGGAGCTGCACCGGCTCGGCCGCAGCCGGCGGCTGCCCCATCCCTGCCCCACTGCCAGACCCACGGCTGCCCCATGCAGCCCAGGGCAGGATGGCGGGGCCTGGCTGCAGGAGTGGAGCTGCCTGGAAAGGGGGGATGTGGGCCGGGCACCCCCAGACCCCAGCCCTGCAGGGCAGTGGCTGAGCATTGACCTGTGGCTTTGGGGGCACAGTGGAGTCTCGCCATGGTTTTGGGGGGCGGAGCGGCCCCTCCCCGTGCTCGGGGGGCACAGGAGCCGTCCCCATGCCCTGCCGGAACAGGAGGGCTCTCATCCCATGCATCCCGTCCCTGGATATGGACATCCTGGCTCCCGGCAGTGGGACCGTGGGGTCCCGCCGCTGTGGGGCAGAAGGGGGCAGGGAATGGGAAGGGAATGGGAAGGGAAGGGGGGGGGGGGTATAAGTAGGCGCAGGAATTCCCGGCGGCCCCCGGGGAGGAGCTGGAATCCAGCCGGGGCCTGAGGGGAACCAGCCGGGATGACGGGAACCGGCCGTGGCACCGCAGCCCAGCTCCTCCGGGGGGGCCGGGGGGCTGCTCCCTGTATGTGGGGCTGAGGATGGGGCTGGGATCCAGGCTCTGTGCTCCAGGCTCAGGCCATATATGGCTGTGCCAGGGTCCCTGTAGGCCTGGGCTGGGGACCTGTGCCTTGGAACTGGGGTGCCTGCAGCCTGTGAGGCTGGGCTGGGGTCCAGCGCCGTGTCCCAGGGTTTGCACCTGTCTGGGAGCTGGGGGACTCCATTGCTGGCACCCTCAGTGTGTGGGGGGCAGCAGTGCCACCGTACAGGGACACTGTTCCCCCAACCCACCACCCACTCTCGCTCAGGGGGGCAGTTGATCCCCACTTGCTGACTGCTGGTTGTGGGGTGCAATGGCCATGGCGTGGCTGTCCCAGCCGCACCAGTGTTGAAGGGACAGGGGACATGCAGCTCAGTGACGGAGTGGCATGTGGGGTGCCTGGCAGCACAGGCCCCACAGCATAGTGTGACGGAGTGCCTGGCACCCCAAACCCTGCCCAACTTCCCTGAGCCTCACAGGCAGAGCCCCCATCCCCACATGGGCTGCAACTGTTCCTGTGGTGCCACCAGCCCCTGCCAAGGGCCCCTGTGCTATGGGCGACTGAGCAGGGCAGGGATGAAAGGGGCTGGGGAACGGGGCAGGATCCAGCCCATTAACCCCACAGCTCTGGACCGTGACGGCTGCTACCGGTGGAGCCGGCAGGGCAAGCGCAGGGGGTGCCGGGGTGGGGGATGCCTGCTGGGTGCCAGGACGGTGCCCGGTGTGGGCCGGGCGGACACGCTGACCCCTTCCCGCAGGAACTGGTGTGCCTACGTGGTGACGCGCACGGTGAGCTGTGTGGTGGAGGACGGTGTCGAGAGCTTCGTGAAGCCGGATTACCAGCCCTGTGCCTGGGGGCAGCTCCAGTGCCCCCGTGTCCTGGCGTGAGTGGGACGGCACTGGGGGGACCCGGGGCCATGGGACAGAGCCGGGTCTGGCTGCAGCGCGGCCGCCGGTGTTTATCCACCCCCGGGTTGTGTTTGCTTTGCGCAAGAGCCAGCTGCTTGCGTGGGGCTGGATGGGTGACCGTGCAGCGAGGCACATGCAGGGACCCCCAGCACCCCACCAGCAGCTGGCACCTCAATGGTGGGGCCGGCGGTTTGGGGGGATGGCAACAGTGGGGTTGGAGGGACTGGCGGGGAGAGCTCCCAGTCAGCAGCAGTTGAGCAAGAGGCCAACAGGGCCACACCGTGGCCTGGGTTTGGTTTTGTTCCCGACTTGCTGCTGCCCAGCCTGACGCAGCCACACACACTGGGATCGTGGTGCTCAGCATGACCCCACAGTGGGAACTCGGCAGGAGCTGGGGCTGAGTGCAGGCAGGGAGCTCAGTGCAGGCAGGGCTCCTTTGGACCCACACCCGGGACCCCCACCCAGCTGTTCCCAGTCTGCCCAGCTGGGTTCCCCATCCCCATCCCTGCTGCAGCAGAGTCCCATCTGCCCGCAGGTACCGCAGCTTCCTGAGGCCCCGGTACAAGCTGTCCCAGCGGACGGTGTCGGAGCTGGCCTGGCGCTGCTGCCAGGGGTACTCAGGGGAGGACTGCACCGAGGGGCCGGCGCCAGCTGTCCCCCAGCCCACTGCCCGGCCCCAGCCCCGGCCCCGACCTGGCCGCCCCACGCTCTCCGGCTTCGGCAACCCCCTCAGCGGCCTGGGGGGTGAAGGTAATGCCGGTGGTCGGGGTGGGGGGAGCCTCCCGCCGGGGTGACACTGACGGTGCGATGCGGCACAGGCGGCGGGGATGCGGAGAA